TTCTCTTATTCCCAGCAGGTGGTTTCTCCTATGCCACTGCCTAGAAGGATTCCAGCTGTGAATTCCATTGCTTCATAGGCTATTAACACTCTCCATCACTTCCTATTACTGTATGTAATATGAGGTATATTGAGAAAACTTTGGGATTTCTTAGAAACTAAGTAGCTACAGCTGACTCTGGCCTTGCTTCTCATGTCCACATACTTCCTAAGGAGTTTAATTCTATTCTTCCTCGTGAACTTGTGCTGATTTTAAAATATTAGAGGAAATCCTATTTCTCCATCCTGTTACTCTTTGAGTTATTCCTTTTTTGGTGAAGAATTAAGTAAAGGATTTTTATATATAGAAAAATGTCCTCCCTTGGCTGAAGTAGGTTGTTGTTGATTGAAGTAGTGGATGTGTTCTTTTGATATTTTATTGATGTGCTTTTACATTCTGTTTCACTGTATGTGCATACTTTAATTTGTTTTTATTTAATTTTACCATTTTGTTTGGTGCAGCTGGACAGTAAGGGCTCTCCCACCTCCAAGGTGGCTGAGGGAGTGCCAGTGCAGACACTATGTGGGTCCATTCTGGCATCTGAGATGTTGAAACAAGCTCACCATTAGTTGTCTGTGTAGAAGGGCTCTGACATTCCAGCTCCATTCCCTCCAATGATTTCTAATGTGAGAAGGAATTGCAATAAGCATCCTTCTTCTGACTGTTCCAACAGACATCAGTGATGGAAGGTGTGGGAACATCAGTCTGCTGCATCCTGTTACTTGCAAAGCATGCTGCCAGGTAAGCCAGAACTGGGGGACTATTGCATTCCTATGTATTCCTGTCATGTATTACATCCTGCAGTTGATGGTGGTTGGTGATGGAAGGGTTAATGTAAGTATTCTAAAGGGCTGAGTAATCTGTAAGTAAGGGTTGCAGCTGGGTGTTTCTGGATAGAAGGAGCAAACCTTGGAACTTATTTTTGAGAGAAAAGTATTTGTCTTATCTTGGTGGTAGATGCTGCTGGTTTCCCCCCATGTTTGTGGATTTTTGGTGTCCTGACCTGTCTCCTGAACCTTTAGAATCCTGGAACCTTGAATCTTTGGACTGGCTTTTGACTACGGTATAGACTCTTGATCCCCGTACTTTGTTTATTGAACTCTTGGCATTTGACCACTGGACTGGACCTTATGACTATGGAGTTATCTTGAACCTGTAACAGTGTTTGCTATTTTTGTTTTATATTCTGTGGCTGAGTGCTAGCTTTATGTTTTATATTTTGGATTATTAAAACAGCCAGAAAGTAAGTGCTGTTTTAATTAAATTGTTTTATACAAACTGGATTTTTGTTTGGTGCATCTCTGCCTCTGTAAAGGCAAAGCCCTGGCATCGTGACAATTCCTAACATGACTGAATGTGTAGGAATTATGAATACAAATCAATTATGAATGTGTAAGTTTAGGTTTATACATCTGTAACTGCAATAATAAATTATAGTTTTCTTTTCCTGACTTTTTTGGCCATTAACTAGAACAGACAATAGGGGAGATGAATGCCTTTGAATTCACATTTGTATATTTCAGTATCGCTAGAGATTTTAGCCTAACAGTAGAATCCTGTTTTTGAAGTACTTGTACAATGATTGCTTCCACACTCAATCTTTTCTGTGGCATTCGCAACCTCTGTTCACTAAGTTTTTACAATCTTGTTATGATGTCATTTCCAAATATTGGCATTCTTGAATACATAGCAATTTATTTAATAAATCAATCATATCCAATGCAATTTACTCTTAAGAAATTTCAGGACAACAGCAATTGCACTGAAATGCTATCTCTTGCAGATCCTATTTATTACCTCTTTTTCACACAACTAGTGAAAAAACGATAAATTATTCTTTATCACCAGTCAATTACTGTTTCTAATTAAATGACCCTTAATTTGTATTTTGTTTTCATGGTGTCTTTATTAATTTAATTGAAATTAAATTCATTCCTATGTTTAAAAAATGGAACAGAACAATTAATCAAAGTGCAGGGTATGTGTGTAAATATTCTGTTCATGCAAATCCAAACAGTATTTTGGATTTTTAGAAATCCATCCCAGGAAAAACAGCTTATGGACCATATGCTATAGGCAGATTTAACTTCCTAAATATGTAGAAGTTGAAAATAGGGTGAGTTGCGACTCATGGTTTTATCTGGTAATTTTGATCTAGGATCATCTGTAGACAAGAAGTTTGCTTCAAACTCTTTTTGAAAATATCATGTAACTTTTTCAAGCTACTTGAGTTATGCAAATATGGTTCTTCCCTCTTGCAAATTATAACTATAGAGCAACTGATATAGTTATACTTGAATTGTAACTAAGGCAGTGATGCGTGTTGATTGCAGCTTATTTTTAATTTATGTGGATCCAAACTAAATTTGCTTAGTGCCAAACTTAATTTATGTGGTGGCATGTCACTAATTTAAATTGGCTGAGTATGGAAATCCTGTTAAAACTTATTCCACCCTTCAAAAAACCATTAAGATCTGTCTTGCTCCAGATGAAAGCAAGATATTACAAAATTTATGAATTACAATGGCACAGCAGATAGACATGTGTCAGATCAGTGGCATATTCAGTTCCATTTTATAAGCAAAGAAAAAATGAATTTTGTTTTGGAGATGATATACTGGCAGAAGAAAAACAGAACACAAATATATTAAAATAGTGTAACTAAAATGATATGACTTAATAATAAGAATAAGAATAAGAATAAACTTTATTTAAACCCCGCTACCATCTCCCCAAGGGGTCTCGGGGTGACTTACATGGGGCCAAGCCCGGCAATACAGTAAACAATATACAACAGAACACAGTAAAATAAAATAAAATAAAATACAAACCCATTATAAACACATCAACAATATAAAATCACACATTTAAAACATAGCAAATGATCACATTGGGCAGGCTGATTTGAATGGATTAAAAACTTTAAGAACACTGGTGAGACAGCAATGTAATATGTCTAGAGAGGAGATCCAAGAGGTAGAGTAGGGTATGATTGCACTAGCAGGAGAATAAAGTGCTACCGAGGGCCATTTTACAGAGGTAGGGCATGTCAGGGTATTATTGTTCATTCACCCATTGAAGGCACAATGGAACAGCAAGGTTTTCAAGCCCTTCCTGAAGATTGCTAGGGTGGGAGCTTGTCTAATAACTCTGGGGAGGGAGTTCCAGAGTTGAGGGACCACCACAGAGAAGGCCATGTCCTTCGTCCCCGCAAGTCGCTTTTGCGACGGGGGTGGGAGCAAGTGACGGGCCTCTCAGGAAGATAGAAGAGATCATGTAGGTTCATAAACAGAAATGTGGTCATGCAGGTAGGCAGGTCCCAAACCGTTCAGGGCTTTGTACGTAAGAACCTGCACCTTTAATTGGGACCAGAAAATGAATGGCAGCCCTTGAACAGGGGCATTGACCTCTTCCTGTAATTTTGTAGAATGCTAAAAGAGTTATTATTGTTGTTTTTGTAATAATTACTGCTGTCACTATCCAACTTCCAATGACACTATGGTCTGATTTTCTTAGCAAGATTTATTCTGATATTTGCCATTACTTTCCTCTGAAGCTGAAAGTCTTACTGAAGCTCACCTAATGGATTTCCATAGCCATGTAAAACTGTGTAAATCTGTGATCCCCAATCTAGCAGAATCACAGACTGAATCTACACTGTAGAATTAAGGCAGCTTGACACCACTTTAACTAGCATGGATAGGTCCTATGGAATTAGGAGTTAAGTTTTATAAGGTCTTTAGCCTTCTCTGCTAAATAATGGCGGTGCACCACCAAAGGGCAACTCAAATGATTTCACGGCATTGAGCCATGGCAGTTAAAGAGGTAATAAACTGTATTAATTCTGCTGTATAGATGCACCCTTAGTCCAACACTCCAACCACTATGTCATGCTATCTCCCATCACACTGGTTCAAAGAGTACTATCCTACAACTTTATTCCTCTTTCAAGCAATGTTTTTGGTTCTCAGTCAGTTCCAACTTATGGCAACCAGGCATGTAGCCAGGCATGTAGCCGGGGGGGGGCTTGAGGGGCTTCAGCCCCCCCCCAAATTCTCATGGTGGTTCGCGAAAAGGCCTTACTGGTGCATTATTTAAACTGTTATGTTTATTCATATCATGATCTGATCACCATACTCAATATATCCCATATGCATGGGGGTATTGGGGTAATGATACAAAAGGTTTGCTAGGGAAGACCCTCTTTCACTCAGACTCAGCTCCCCTGAAACAAACTCACCCCCCCCCCCAAATCGAAATCCTGGCTACGGGCCTGATGGCAACCTATCCATAAAACCTCAAGAGACCCTTATATTAACAGCCTTGTTTAGATTTTCTGAACACAAGCCCATTCTTTCCTGATTGTCAATCCACCTGCAGTCTTCCACGTTTCCTACTATCTTTACTGAAAATTCATTTAAATGTGTCATCTCCTTCTTCCTGCTGCATACAGTCTGTCTCCATATTTCTTTGGTAGCATGAAAATTGGGACTTGTACCTGAACTGTTAGGAAGTTAGAAAGATGCGCACATCACAAATGACATATACCTGTTTATTTATTTTATTTATTTACTTCATTTCTATCCTGCCTTTCTCAACCTGGGAGGGGACTCAAGGTGGCTTACAAATCTGGCAAAGATTCAATGCTGCACATCACATAAAATAGAAACAATCTAAGTATATAAGAAATTCAAACACATAACCATCTATCAAACAGATTAAAACCACATATCAAACACCAATTCATGATCTCGTGTCCAAATCATATCCCAAGCTGCATCTTTCCATAAGGAAAATACAAAGGCTGAATATGTATTTCAGATGCCATTTCCATTTTTTGTTTGTTTGCCACAAACACTGCCACATCTGAAGCTGACTTCACAGCATCTGCCTGTTCATGTTCTAGGCAAGCTTACGTTTTGCTCTTTCATTATATGCAACTTCAGTATACTGTAACTTACCCTCACTTGACCAACAAATGCATTGGCTTCTTCTTCTTGTACTGTGAGGTTCTTAGGAAGAAAATGGTCAAAGACTGGACCATTATCATTTACATCAGTTACAACCACATTTACTGTAGCAGTTGATGTCTGTAAGAAAAGGAATAAATACAATTATTTAGATGTTGTATCATACATCAAGGTGGGCAAGGTGCGGTCTGTGGGCTACAGGAACATTTTGTGCCCCGACAGACCTCCCAGGTATCCCTCTCCCATTTTGCCCAATGTTCACTCTATAGATTACCAAGAAGCAGCTATATTAAATTGTTAAAAGGATGGATACGTCTTGATAATCAAAGCCTCATGGTTCTTGAAGGAGCAGATTTAAAATTTGGCTTGCATGCATACCTAGTTTATGGAAAAGTGGTAGAAGACCCAAATTTAAATAAACACCCAATTAAGAAAATTCTGATGAGAACTTGGGAACAAGAATAAAATAAACATTTATACAAAAAAATACCACAATGGACTTCAATTCAGGAAGCCTTTAAACAAAGTTGATATCCCAAGTGTAACGGAAGATGGTTAACCTATGCAGATTCAGTCAAGAAGACGTGAGGCAATGCCCAACTAAAAACAAGGACAGACATAAACCAACAAGGCTACAACCTGAACTGGTTTGAATTTACCCAAAACACCATCAATATGAAAAGGACATACAGGTCCACAGTTTGGGGGATCTCCTGGACTCAACGCTGTCGCTTGATGCGCAGGTGTCGGTGGTGGCTGGGAGAACCTTCGCACAATTAAAACTCATGCGCCAACTGCGACCATACCTCGTGAAGTCTGACTTGACCATGGTGGTCCATGCCTTAGTTACCTCTAGACTAGACTATTGCAATGCTCTTTATGTGGGGTTACCCTTGAAGACGGCCCGGAAATTACAACTTGTCTAATGGTCGGCAGACAGATTAATAACTGGGGCAACTTACAGGGAGAGGTCAACCCCCCTGTTTAAGGAGCTCCATTGGCTGCCGTTCATCTTCCAGTCTCAATACAAGGTTCAGGTTCTTACCTATAAAGCCCTAAATGGTTTGGGACCCACCTACCTTCATGACCGTATCTCTTTCCATGAACTAGCCCGTACCCTCCGATCTTTGGGCAAGGCCCTCCTTTCGCCCTTGCCAGTCTCTGACTCGCCTTGTTGATACAAGGGAGAGAGCCTTCTCCTCTGTGGCCCCCCGACTCTGGAATTCACTGCCCGGAGAGGTTAGGAAAGCCCCTACTTTGGAAACTTTTAAAAAGAGTCTTAAGACCTGGCTCTGCCGTTGCGCTTTCGAAAAGTAGCCATATAATTTTATGCTAGTGCTCCTCCAATGTTCTTGTCCCAGGAGTCCCCCCCTCCCACACACATACAAAGATTGTCTTAATTTCCTATCTCTCTATGAGTTCTCCCTTACAATTAGTTCTCCCCCCTTATCTCACCCGGAGTTTTTAAAATCATTTTATGTACATATGGCCCGCCCTTTGTTTGTCTGCCATTATGCTTAGTTCCTACGTTTTGTGTATATTGTTTTATATGCTTTGATATTTTATATTTTACTGTTATGTTGTTTATTTGATTGTAATTTGTATTGTTCTATTGTAATTTTGTTTGGGCTTGGCCCCATGTAAGCCGCTCCGAGTCCCCTTTAGGGAGATGGTGGCGGGGTACAAATAAAGTTTATTGTTGTTGTTGTTGTTGTTGTTGTTGTTGTTGTTATACAAAATGTTGCAACAATATTACATGCCACCTGTAAAAATAGCCAAAATGGAGCCACAATTAAAAAATATCTTTGGGAAATGTAAACAAGCAATGGGATCATTTTTTTCTTATATGGTGGTTCTGCAAGAAGGCAAAATATTTTTGGATTGAGATCCATAAAACTATAAGAAAAGTATCAAAACTCAAAATACCCATGTATCCAGAGGCATTCTTACTAGGCATAACAGATAGATCGCTTTTGAAGACATATGACAGACATTTCATTCTGATGACAGCTACAGCAAGAATTGTGTAGGTGAAGACGTGGAAACTAGAAGAAACATCAAAAATGTAAGAATGGATAGTAAAGGTAGCTGAAATAGTGGAAAAAGACATTTTGACATGATATCATCAGATAAAAGACCTTTCACTATTCAAGAAACCCTTAAAAGATTTCCTGGTAGAAAAGAAAATTTTAACATGGGGATTTTATGTTTAAAATGTTAATAAATTACATTATATTTTACACAATGAACTAAATAAAATTGAAAAGACAAAAATTCTTATGTATATGAAAGAAGGATATGTAAAAATTGACAATATAGTTCAATTGTGTGTGTGTGTGTGTATATAAACTTTTTTATCCGTTGTGACCACCAGCTAACAGAAGGGGCTGCTATGTTGAATTCCAACTTCAAGCAAATCAATGGTATGACTAGGAAGCTATTTAATCCCTGGATCATTTCACTAAAAACACTCTTTCAGATATGTCCATATAGTTATATATAGTTAATACAGTTATGCACAGCTTAGAGCCCAGAACAAGCAACAGCAGCAAAATGCATTACTAGGGTGGAATGGTGATGGTCACCATGTTGGCACCATGAGATGCCAAGCTAACCTTAAAAAACGGGGCAACAAAGGGGAGTCCACGACGTGTGAGTGTGGAGAAGAGCAAACCACAGACTACCTACTACAATTCAGATTGAGCCTTGCCACATGCTCAATGGAGAGCCATCTTCTAGCAACACTAGAGGCACTTCAAGTGGCCAGCTACTAGTCAAAGGACATTGACTATAATGCCAAGTTTTTAAACTTTGTTTGTGTCTTTAAATACATTACCACTGTATCCTCAATTTGCTTCTGACATGATAAATAAATACTACGATGGAGAGGTCAACTGGAGAATTAGCATTTATATAGTTACTCTTTGGTGGTAAAATGGAGATATGGCAAAGAGATAAAAATATATGAGATGGTAGGTTCCTGAAGGTCATATAGTCCCAAACTGGTTATCCAATTTTCAATGAGTTCAATTAGCATTTTTGAGAACCTATTTTTCATGCTGTTGTTGTGATTACTGTGCTTTTCTTTGCTTATTTTTTTCCCCTTGGCAGTTCACATCATACATTTAAGCTCAAGTGCTTAGCTAGTCAAGGAAGTAGGGGGAACAAACATTCAGGACTGCTCCAATCATGGTTGCTAGATGCCATCTGTCTCACCCTCTAGTCAGTAAAACAAAAGAACAAAAAGTGAGACTGAGAAATGTGATGGCAGTGGTAACTCTACTGCTTTCACATGGCAAGAGAAGAGATGGCTGCAATGCAGAACCTGACATTTTTTGAATGCCTGCTAAAAAAATGCATTGTGAGACAAGGGATTTAGAAAATGGCCTGTTTTGAAAAATCGTCTTTCTCCCTAAACAAAGACATGGTGTCTGTTTTGTCGAACCCATTCACACTTATAAAAAAGAAATCTTGCTGAGTAGCGTACCGCTAAAATATATATATATCCCATAAGTATAATGTTGATGCTCAAAGATTTTTTTTGTTGTGTCAGGAGCGACTTGAGAAACTGCAAGTTGCTTCTGGTGTGAGAGAATTGGCCATCTGCAAGGATGTTGCCCAGGGGATGCCCGGATGATTTGATGTTTTTATCATCCTTGTGGGAGGCTTCTCTCATGTCCCCGCATGAGGAACTGGAGTTGATAGAGGGAGCTCATCCGCCTCTCCCCAGATTCGAACCTCCAACCTGTTGGTCTTCAGTCCTGCCGGCACAGGGGTTTAACCCACTGCGCCACCAGGGGCTCAAAGATGATCAAGTGGGAAACTGAAACAGAACTAATAAAAGAGAGTATGATTGCCTGGGCGGTGGACTTTGGGCACACAGTCCTGCTGAAAGAGTGGGAAAGCATATGGAGAGAGAAACTAAAACTTGCTAAATCCACCACTATAATCGAGAGCTGGCAAAAAGTCTTCCACCGTTGGCACCTTACTCCCCAAAAACTAAATACTACAAAGGAGCAAACAGTGACTGCTGGAAGTGTGGAGCACAATTGGGCTCCTACTACCACATATGGTGGCAGTGCAAAAAAGTAAGGAGTTACTGGCGGGAGGTCCACAAGGAAGTACAAGGAATTTTACAGATAAGACTAGAATTCAAAGCAGAATATTACTTGCTGCACCTAACTGATTTCAAGTTAGAACCCAATAAAGATAGGATACCATTTCACCTATCTGCAGCTGCCAGAACAGTGCTGGCAAGCAAATGGAAATCGAAAGACCTACCAACAATCAATACCTGACTGCTAAAAATAAGAGACTATATGGAACTAGACTCGTTAGCAAACATGATAGAAGAAACCAGCAAGAAAAGAAGGACTGACTAGCAACCATTAAGACTTTACTTAAAAAAGAGGAAAAACATTGCCCTTGAGATAGGAGAAGGTGTTTAAACCTACTAAAGAGTACCTACTAAAGTTATTCTGGTTGTAAAATCCTGCGATATCCTTGAGGAAGTCCACTATGTACACATTACCCTTTGTCCGATATCACTGTAATGGTCCCCACCCTGACACCCCCTACCCTTCCTCTTCTATGTCACCCACCCCCATCCCCATCCCCCCATTCCCTCCCCATGCCAACCCCGGCTTTCCCAACATGTTGTTGTCTGTAACTTAAGCAAAAATAAAAACAACTATATAAAAAAAAGATGAGACATACTTAATAGACCCAAAGACTTATCAAACAATTTTCAACTAAACTATGATTATGGGATATTTACCTCAATCTTAGTTGACAGAATGAAAATAGTCTTACAAAACTGGCTATATGAAGATAGAGTGTATACCCAGAGAAGATACAAGATGTACTGTAGACATATTTGAATATTTAAATAACATTTCTCATTATTTTACTTAGCTTTTTTTGGGGGGGGGGGGCAGGATGTGGAGAATATATGTTAATATTGGAAGTCCTTGAATAATGGACTTTGGGAAAACTTTATAACATAGATTGCCTCCATTTATACTTTGCAGAGGGCCCAGATATTGATGAATGGAGATAATATAAAGTTTTGTGGTATTCAGAGAACACAAGATAAGATTGCCCATTGTCACCTTCTATTG